TTCAGTTTTAACAATTTCAATGCTGAGAGTGAAAAACATACATTTTATTTATGCTTTATAAGTGAATCTTCATCATTGTCTAACTCCAGATTGTAATCAAATAATAACTTATCCAATACAGAGACAATGGGGTTTAAGGGGCAATCATGAACAACATTTGTACTCATTGGAACTTATATTTACATGTGATAAAGCAAATGTTCAGCTCTTCTTTGAAGGCCTGATTCAATTTAGGAACGTGTCAATGAAATCGGCTTTTTTCTAAAACCTGTGGCAAAGCATGACTATCACATTTGGACCTCTTCTTCCCTGCCTGACCCCATCTACCCCACAGCCAAACATATATAAAGAAACAGTTCTCTATTGCAGAAAGTTGTGTTTTTTTTTTTTTTTTGTCTTTTGTTTAATCTAAGACAATATTTGCAACAACACAGCCCATTGGCATTTCTACACAGATTGCTCCAGTTACATCTAAATAGACCACTTAAATTGAAACTTATTTAAACACATCACATTTTACTTGTTACAAAGACCATCCTACAAAAAACAGGGAGTAAGTTTTGTGTGTATCAAAACACAATGAAATAAACTGCTCCAATGGAATAGGCTACAGCACTACATCAGCAAAACCTGTCAAAAATATCTTCACACTTATATTATTTAAATTCTTGTGAAAACAGCATCCATTCTTCTGTCTTTCTTAATAATTTTGTATACTTATTTGGCCTTCTTTATTTGTAAGGTGGTTGCTGTCCTTGTATGTTTTAGTATTTTTCTGCAGTTTTAGTGAATGTTAGTTAAACTTCAAAGTTCAATTGATCCTTCCAGTTTTAAGCAATAGTTGTGTATAACAAACACTTAACACTTTCTTCCTATAGACAAAAATATTATATTATATTCTATTCTATTTCTATTCTATTCTATTCTATTCATTCCTTTCTTTGTTTTAGGAAGGGGTAGATATTCTAAGATTTTTTTTTGTCTTTTTGCACCCTTTTCATTCAGTAATTCATAAATAAATAAAGCCTCCCAAACCAGTCTGAGTTCAGTGTATCATTCCTAGTACATGTAACAACTAACAAACAAAAGTTAAGAAATTTCCAAATGTTCGAATGATGTGCAGCTTTTTATATCCAAAGTCCATCTTAGCTGTAATCTTGAACAGGCCTTTGATAACATTTTTGCAACAATATCATACCCACCTGTTGACTTTTCCAGAGTAGTTGAAGGAAGTGGATCTGCTCTTTTGTGAATCAAGCAGCAGATACAACACCATGACAAGTCCAAAGTAAGCTCCTTGGCTATAATCAAAATCTGTTTGGTTGATCAAACCATCTATCCAAATATAAACAATGATTTGTTTTAATGGTCTTTGAAATCTGTCAAAAATACTGAATACATTGTGTAAGTAAACAAAGTTGTTTCTTTATTCATTCATAGTGAACATTTCATGTATAAACAAGCAGGGTAAAGTTTAGCTAAAAGGAAGGAAAAAAATTGCCATAGCTAAAGCCTCTTAAGCTACTTTTTCCAACCCCTCAGCTTAGGCACAAGATGGAACAGTGCCTGAAAAACACATATGAAGAAACCTTCCTTCAGTAAGAGTGATGTGGTGGAAAAACGGAATTTGAACAACATGAGACTAGATTTCTCAGAGTTATGTGCACACAAACACATTAAATTATGATATATAATTTCAGATGGGGCAAATTACTTATGTTGCTTTAGGAGTTTTTGACATTGTACCATGTTAGCTTAGCTTTGTTGCACTGTTTGAATATTTGCTGGGACCCAAGCTCTGAGTAAAGCTGAGCATCTTCTATCAGCTTGATTTCTCACAGTCTTAATATAACCTCTCCCACATGAGACTTTTTATTATTGCTCAGGGATACAAGCTTTATTTGCAAGCTGTTTGCTGTAGCAAATTGTTATTGCTCTGAGGCATTTCAATCAAATAAGATACCAAACTTATTGTGTCAGTCACTGGGCTCCAGACGTGACTCAAACAGAATATAAATATACATATAAAGAGAGGGAGAAATTGTGCTTTCAAAAAAATAAGTTCAAGGTATGATTCTACCTGGAGATGATAAGAAATTGTGTGAGAGAAATATTCCTAAACCAATAGCTGTTTATCTTAAGCACTCAAAATATTCACACAGGCCGAGAAAGATTTTATTGAAAGGTTTCAAACAAGCACTTTGCTGCACACTGTGGAGGAGGCAGTGGAATGTGCCAGGACAAGGATTTTATACAGTATCTGGAAAAGTATGGTAGCAACTAGCCAGACTAAGCTAACTTAATAGAAATGTCTCAAGAGATACAGTGTGTATCAGGGGTGTGTTATGGTTAAAATTGTGGGTATTTGCAAGTAGAGGGGCTCCAAGTAGAGTACTAAAATCTTCAAAATATTTTTTCTTTCAGACCGTAGGAAAATCGAATTAGACTAAGTTAACTTCTTTGTTTAGTCCATGAAATCCTTCATTATTGTTCTGTTATGGCCTGGGACACTTAGAGCAAATAACCATAACCAAGGGGGTCTCATTTCTCCTTTGTGGCTTTGGGAAGTGGGTTGTATATGAGGTTGTGATTAAGTTTTGTTGAAGCAGACACTGTCTGGTAGTTCAGACCCAGTCCGTTTTTGATGTGGTGTGAAAATGGGCTGATCACACTAAATTAATTGCACATTTGTGCAACAAATCTCCAGTTTCATTGACAAACTGCAGGTTTCTTTGTGGTTTTTAGAGTTGGGGAAAGTAGAATGGGGGGAAGAGTTTTTGTTTGTTAGACCCTGAAATGACTTTTTTTTAACTGAGTTGCACTTATTTTGCTGTTTGTTAATTAATTTTTGGGAAGRGTTAAAATTAAATTGTAGAAAACAATGAAAAAAAACTTTAAAATGTTGAATCCTTCTTTTTTCACATTTAAATAATTCAGTTGAGGTCTATAAAGTGGAGCTGCAGTGCTTTGGTCTGAATTCCTGGTTACCGTAGCTCAGCAGGCCCTTCTTTCACTCCTGTTCTGAGAGCAACTCATTTCGGTGCTGTCTCTTTTAATACAGTACAAATGAGGTGCTTCTCATCCCGCCCCCCTCCAAGTCTCATTCCTAGTGACATAGATCATTTTCCACCCCATCCTGTTTTGATTTATCTGTAGTTTGACAGCTGACATAGGATTATCTAGCGTTGCAGATACTTATTCTTACAAACTAATTAAAAGATGTCAACAACAAAATACTTGTCTGTCAAGCCTTACATGTTGGAGCCAGAGTCTGACCCAGAGCCAGAGGACAATGAAGTTGATGAACTGGACCTTTAAATGAATGCATCGCAATGGGTATTACTGTGTTTACACACTCCSCATACATTCCAAGTACAATATGAATATGGAGCATAGTTTTACTGTGGGCGGCTGTGGCAGAGTGGTTAGGGGAGTCGTCCTGTTGGTGGGTTGCCAATTTGATCCATTCCAAACGTTTCAGTCATTGTGTCTTTGGGCAAGACACTTTACCCACCTTGCCTACTGATGGTGGTCAGAGTGACTGGTGGTGGTGCATGGCAGCCCCACCTCTGTCAGTGTGCCCCAGGGAAGCTGTGGCTGTAGCTTAATATCATCTGTGTTTAAATGTGTGTGAATAAGTAACTGATCGAAGTGAAAAGCATTTTGGAGTTGGCAGGGATAAAGTGCTAAATAAGTTCAAGCCATTTACCACTTACTGTACTTTAGTGCCCACGCATGTGGAACTTGGACAACACAAATCGCTGCAAGAAATAAAAATGGTGAATTTGCAAAATTSGTTAGCCTGAAGTCCATTACTTTGTTTAGCAGTTCCACAGCAAGTATGGTGATGTTATTATTCAGAAAACATAATAGGGAATAGAGAATACTGAACAGATTAAAAATATATCACCCAAACAGAATACAAAGAGRGGGACCAAACTTTTCTGCACTCCTAGAGACTCAAAACGTATTTAACAACTAAAAAAGTGAATTTTGAATGATATGCCCTCTTTAAAAACATATTAATTCTCATAATTATTCAAATTGCATTTATTCCTAGTGTTTAATGTACTGTACATCTTTTTTTAGGTAGCACTTATCTGGATTTTTTTTTTCTGTAATCCATCCTGGCTCAGGCCTACAGAGAACATCTCCTTTTGGAGTCAGAAGCTCAAATGCATGAATCACTTCAGTTGACAGAAATTCCTATGTCTCTTTTCTGAAACGATTGACTCAAAGTTAATTTGTAGTTTTGGCTGAAGTTGTTTTTTCTTTTTTTTTTCTTAATCAAGCCCAAAAAAAGGTAACACAGGACCTGAGATTTTACTAAGAGCCTTAAAAAAACCTTTTAAAAAATGCTGTTTGGAAGATCTTTGAGCTTTTTCTCATGGGCACCTGTGCTGCAAAAACGTGTTTGGACACACTAACACACATCCATTTTTATTTATCTGTTTATTGACAAATTGCTCTGGTACACCCAAAATGACTACACACACAAGTTTACATCAGGCAAACACTGACAAACAGACTCTATTAGCACCCAGCTGACAAGCTAGAACACACACATAAACACACCTTATCTCAACGCTGAGATACGGTTTTGAAGCCATGACAAGCTGTCCAGCCAGTCGAGGCTATCCGTGGAGAGAGGTTCGGTTCTGTTGTTTCATGTTGTTTTGCAATTAATGTAGACAAAAACAGCACAGTCTCCTTCAACACATTTGCTTTAAATAGCCATTCTTCCTGATAAACACTGATTCTTGGGGCTCGCAGAGTGACTCGTCATCAGGAAAAAGGATCAAACTAAAATGGAATCAATACCAGAGAGAATCAGCAGTTGATTCTGAATTTGGAGGATGGGAAAAATCAGAAGTCTTGACTATCAGTTTGAAACAAATGTTTGCCTGTAATCTGACAAAAGATCCAGAAACGTTTCACTTCCAGATGACAGAATGTATTCACTGAATTAACTTTTCTCCATTGTGTTCTTGTGTTTTCAGGTTAATAAAAGCTGTGATTTACGTTTGGAGAAGGCAAGCCTCGATCCCCAGTTTACTCCTCGGAACACCTGACTTTGAGATTTGGGGCTCTACATTTTATTGGGCAAAGTAAAACTGTTTATGTTCAAAAGATCTTGGAAAAAAAAATGAACCATCTCCTCCTTATAATGAACATTATCTTCTTCGGATTCCCCCAAACCATGAAATCTTGTAACTGATTGTTGACAGAAAGGAAAGGGGGTCTTGCAAATCCAGTGTTAAACAAGCAATAAAATATCCAAGAATGTATTCACAGACATCTTATTGAATTACTCTATTTCCAAGCTGAACCCTCAAAACCCACCTGGTGCTTCTCAGCTGAGCATCAAACAGCAGCCCCCACTCAGTAAAACCTCACTCACTTTAAAGACCTACATAAATTCAGAGCTCCGGGTTGCGTTCCAAGAGAAACATTCCTCGTTTACGGATATCAGAGGATCTTTGGGAGAGTTGTGGGTTACGACTGTCAGGTCCGTTCCCAAAACATCATACCTAAGTGAGGTCGTTTTGTCCAATCACCCCCTTGATGTAAAATGCCTCTGAGGCTTTTAATAACTTTATTACCCTGTATATCATGGCCAAGCCTCAGTCTTGTGCTTGAATTTGTGGGAGCTTTGAAGCTCTTTTGTGAGCTGCTGCTGAGCAGCTTCTCCAGTCTCTCATCATTCATTTGACCCACAGCCATTGCTGGATCTGTCTTTTCTCTCCCTTCTCTTTGTTTCCCTGCCTGTCTTCATTAAACTTGTCAAGTTCCTGCTGCAGCAATGCCAGCCCTGTATTATGCTCTGCTTTTCTCATCACCATGCCCTTCACTTGCCTGGAAACTGAGTATGACAAAGACATTTGAAGAAGCAGAGAACACCTTCTGATACAAAGTTAACAACGAACCTCATTATGTGAAGTACATAAAAAGTTTTATGGCAAAAGTAAGGGGCAATTAGCACATGCTGTTAGATAAATTAACACTTTCCTAAAGTGGTGCAAGTTGTAAGCGAGAGTGGTTGGAAGAACAATTACAGGGCTGATCTTCTTCCCAYAGCTACATGAAAATGGGTAAAAACAAATGATTACAGACCACAGAAAGTAAAAAATCTATGACTGTGGCTGTACAGTGGTATGGGTGGTTAGGTCTGGTGCCTCACAACAAGAAAGTCCTGGGTTTCACTTTCTGCTAGGTTCCATGTTCTCCTTGTATAAGTATGACTTCGGGTTTTTCAGTTTATAGTCTAAAACAATTCATGTTAAGTTCGACAATTCTAAAGACCATAGATGTGAATAGGGCTGCTCAGCTATGGAACAAAATCAGTATCATAATTACTGAACACAAATATGTGAACACCCTTGATTTTCTTGATGCTTTCTCAGTGAAGTCTCTTTTTTTTACCCAACAATGTATTTGATCATATGAGGCTATTGTGAAGTATGAAAAACACAAACTATTAAACATAATCAGAATAGTTTATTACATCATAGTCTTTATGGAATCTGGTTAGATTTTTACAAAATCTGATTTTATCTTTATGATGTAATGTGTTTTTTTTCCTAAATGACAGACAAAAATATTTCAGTAAGTAGATGKAAAGACAACACACATTTCACAAATATCAAAAGAAATATGGTGTTTTAGTTCACCAGAGCATGAACTGATTTAGCAATATGTGTAAAAACTTTTTCTTGTCTTCATAATCTGGATAACTCATTGATATTTGGTCTGAATCCTATTTTCAGGTTACTCTAATGAATACTTTTAGATTTTATTTTAAAGAAGAGATCTCAAAACAATTTTGGATATWAAGATTTACCAGCTAAAAATGCAAAAAAATTGCAAGCTTGCAGGGAAAATGACTAAAATATAAGGCTTTTCTGCTG